GTGCCTTGTCGACTCAGTTGCGTGCGTGCGTGCGTGCGTGCGTGCGTGCGTGCGTGCGTGCGTGCGTGCGTGCGTGCGTGCGTGCGTGCGTGCGTGCGTGCGTGCGTGCGTGCGTGCGTGCGTGCGTGCGTGCGTATTTTATATGTAATTTTATACGCACAACAAAGCAAATAAAGTGTTATAGAGGTAAATATCTTAAAAAGTAAAGAAAATACGACGCAGTACTTCGAACAAAAATTTTAGTATTTTAAAGGAGTATATGATAATGCTAATGATCGATTTAATATTGAGCCGCTATATAAAGAGCGCATAAAGCGCACAGCTATTCTATTTTACGTTAAAATGTAAACTATCTTTGTGAATTCTTTATGGATTTTGCTCGTTATATTTGTAATACAATAATTAATAAAAATGGACGGTCAAAAACAATTGGCCGACGAATTTAATAGTATTTCGTTGTTGACACCGACTTGCAAACACTATCATCTGGTTTCCGTACATAAGACTCTTAAGGATATTTAATACCTACAATAATAGTTAAAGGACTGATTTTGACGAATATGCTCTTCTCATATAGTTTGAGTAATAAGGATTGTGCAGAATGTTATCATTTATTCAGAACTAGAGCGCAGAAATGCTTCTGTTACTTTTTTCCTGAGAATTTTCGAAATTTACTCAAACTATATGAGAAGAGCATATATTCGTCAAAATCAGTCCTTTAACTTTTTGCTACTATTGAACGTATTAAACATCCTTAATATGTCATGTATTTGGCGAAATTCGAGTTATATGATACACAACTTTAATGCAATACAGACCGAGCAACTTTTTTATTGCTTCCTTTATGGCGTAATTTCCGTTCAACACATACGACTCCGTTTTTAATGAAATTCATTTATTATTTTGACTATGTTTCGATTGATTATTTGTGCGACTCTGTATAATTTGTTTTATTTTAATCACTGACTACACTGCAATGCGATTTTTCATTGCTTAAATTAGTAATGCGATTGAGAAAGTCCTAGTAAGGATCGAAACTAGTTTCATTGCGTTTTATGTTAGAAAATTAATTAATAAAGTAATTTTTACATCCTGTTAAATTACTCGCCTTTGGCTATTCATTCTTATTAATTATTATTTTTGTGAATTATCGATTTTTTGACCATCTTATTTTAATATTTACATAAGCAGAATAAAAAAATATTATATTATATAAAAAAATGGTATAAATTTTATTAAAGAAAATGGCCATTATTTTCATATGACCTTTCTTAAAAAGATGTTTTTAATATGAAATCATTATTATTTATAATATGTTCTCCTTAAAATCTTAAAATTTTTGTGCAAAACATTTTTTCATATTTTCTTTAATTTTCAAGATACTTATCTGTAACACTTTATGCGCCGCATGCTGTATATGTATTCTTCGCATTTTGTTAACAAAATGTACGCTTATTACGTATGCGCATATTCATGTCTTCTTATACGTTATCAGCGAGAGAGAGAGAGAGAGAGAGAGAGAAAGGGAGGGAAGAAGGCAGTGAGAGAAAGGGGAGAAGCAGCGAGGGAGAGGGAGAGAGCACGATTCCCTCATACACATATCATGCATATATTTACATTTGAATCCTAAACAACATACGGTACGACATCACATAGGCGTGCATGTGTGACTTTTAGAATATAAATATAGTATATATTGTTGTTGTTATTATTATTATTCTTATTAATAACGTTTAATATTATTAAAGTATATGGGATATTTTTATAGAACTTTAATGATACGGAAATAATCTTCGGAAAAAGATAATATTTATAATTAATATAGAATTTTGTGTGGGTGTATTATAGTTGCAACTTACATAGGCCATTACAATAAACCTTACATTAATCATAAATATCTTTTTATCAATCATTATTAACACAATAAATTTTTTTAAGAAGTTTAAGTTTTGATAACAAAAATTTGATGTAACTTTTATTGCAATAAAATTTTTCTCACATATTAATCGCAGATTTATATATGGAAAAAAATAATATTTTATTAACAGTATTAGTTTTTGAAAATAATTTTGTAATAATTAAAAATAATCTTAATTCAACAACAGAATTAATGAAATAAATAATATTTTATTAAAACAAGAATATAAAAATACATTTGTTTCATTAATACTTATTGAATTAACAAGATTATTTTCAATTTGATTATTGTCGCTTATTAATACATTAATTTTTCCGTGTGATTGTAACATGCTAAAATAGATTGAAATCATTCTTTTTGCAACTTTAATAGCCAATTTTTCAAAATTGTGGTGTAATGTGTTAAAAAAACTATTTTTATTTAACAAAAAGTGTTATACAAATATTATATAATTCCATTGCTCCTCAAATTGAATTTTTCTAATCGTAAAGCTATGTATAAATAAAACACAAGCGCGTGATAATAAAGAAATTAAATTTGCAAATTTATACAATTATATCGATTATATAATATTAAATTTTTTATAATGCAATATTTTTACAACAATCTTAAATCTTTTATTTTCTTAAAAAGATCAGTATATAAATACATGTTTCGAATTGAAACAATATACATATATCTATTGAAATTATATATTTCATGTAATTTTTTTCACATGTAAACTACATTAAAAACCAAATAAATTTTGGCATTTTATTTTATGTTTAAATAATTTTTTATTTTAATTTATTATTCAAATATATACTTTAAAAATAATTTTTACAATTAAATTAAGAATTGGCGTTAAAGAAGATTGAGAACTATTTCTACGGAAGATGAAAAGCATTTAGTAGTTGTTTATTGAATGATATTAAAATTGCAAATGTACAGTCGTAGGTCTCCAATCGAAGTAGTCTCCAACGCAACGTAAGTATTACTCATCTACCTGCGAACTATCGGTAAGATAGTCAGAGGCGTAGAACCTTCCTAAGGGGAACGCCTATCATTGTCTCGACGTCGTATATGCATTTGTTCACTTGACTGAGGACGTAAACGGCCACATACGAGCCCGTCACGTCTGTGCTGACGAAGCAGAATGGAACATTTAATTGATTAACTCGGCTATTGGATCGAGTGCAGTCGCAAATTCGCGTTCGTGAGTGTAACAAACGCAAACTGCGAGTTCATCTATTGTCATCATGAGATTACAACATGATCGAGCGAGTGCCGTGCAGATACTCGCGGAAAGTAATCGATAATCGAATCCAAATTGTCCATGATAGGCGATCTTCGTGAGTAACGTTTGTAAATCGAGCACTTTTTTGATTAAATTGCAAGATTATTAAATGCATGGATGCAAGATTATTTGATAAAATCTAGGAATATCAATATTACATACAAGAGTAACGATGCAGTTGTGATAATCGGTATAACAGAATTTAAGAAAATAGATGATCAATCTCGTGAAACATGTTAAATATTTTAGATAATGCTCAATGTGTTAAATTAATCGTTATCAAAACTAATATTTCTACATATACATATTGTATAAATATAATGTGTGGTATGTAATATGAGATACGCAGGACGGTGCGCGAATATCTGTCCTTGTTATTAAGTATATGTTCCAACAGCCTTGGTTGTAGTTGGAAACGTTATCGCTGATTCCGGCATTATGACTTCGTTTCCGCACATAAAACTCGTTATTTCGCTGCGTTATTTTTACGAAGCTATTGTACGTAATAAATCCCTGATACACGCGTGATAATGCAAAAATCCAAGATATTCATTTCTGTATTATTTCTAAGCAAAATTAAATTGAAAATGAATTTGACAGAAAAGCTAAATATATAGTTTCTCTTAGATTTATTAGATGTTACAAAGAAAATATATAATACAAAATATAAATAAAATTTGCAATAAATAATAATTTCTTTCTTATTTTTACTGAGAAAAAACGTAATCGTCTGAAAATATTCTGTTTCGAATCGTTACTTTTGCGATCAGTTGTTCAATGAAAATAAAACATGAACAGATATTCTAATACGATTTGATAGTGTTTCTTTATTATTAATTGTAAGTGTCATTCGTTTCGCTACTTTTTGCTCGAATGTAGTCAAGAATTATTGGTGACACAAGTGTTTCTTATTCGGTGTCAGTGTGCTGATGTGTATACATACACTTCATTTTTCATGTTTCTATGTTGTAAGAGACACATCGACAAATGTAGTGGCAGCGAATACCTACGAAACGTGAGTGACTGATAACTTTCATTTCCTTATCTATATAACATTACTTAACAATCTTCAAAATAAAATGCTAATTGAATGATAAACATTTTTATGATAAATTAATTAAAATGTACGTACCAGTTATCCGAGAAGTTTTGTTCAAGATGACAACATGTAGCCTCTATGTTTCATGTTACTATATTACGAGTTTATCTATAATCACATCGATGTAGTGACTTTGAATTCGAATTTCTGTGAGTTTCAGTGAATGTCGCACGAAGACTTTTTGGGCCCGTGGGGCCTACCAATTGTAATTGTGATAGGAGTAGGAATCATTTTGATCGCATTGCTCCTGTTTGTTTGTTTCCTCACGCCCGGTTGTATCGGCTATGAATGCTTCAAGAAAGAAAGTAAGATTATCAACTGCTTTAAAAAATTTATTTTCCTTAAATTGATTATATTTAGTTATTCACGATTATCTAGATTAATAAGCAATATCTAACAATAAAATTAGTATTGTTAAATGTGGCGTCAATCAAGGATAACCATATAAAGTCGTTCTCAGCAAAGTATTTAGCGTGCGCGCGTGAAATTAGCTTCATTTTTTCAACATTATGAAAAAATGAATAAAATTTTGAATAATTTTTTTATGAATTCTAACTAATAGCGTTTTAAGTAAAAGAATCAAAATTGAATTTCTTTAGACTTTTCAATTCTTAGATAAAAATTTTTTAAGAGAAATTATTCAATTACTTTTTTGAAAATTTTTTCAAAAGTGCGATATTATGTTTAGAATTGTAAATAAACTTTTATAAGTTTTTAACTTTTAAATTAGAATTTTATATATTGTCTGTACATAAAACTACTTAAAATTTTCTGAGAATTTTAAAGAAAATTAAAATTTTTAATGAGAAACCATAAAATTAGTTACTTTTAATTAAAAATGATTTTTTAAGAGAAATTTTCTTTGCTTTAAACAGAACTCGTTCTAAAATTTATCTCAGAATTCTAAAATTTTCTAATGAATATAAATATTCACAATTTCATTAACTTTTTCATAATTTTGTAAAAGTGGAGTTAATTTCACAAAGATAATTTAAAACAATTACTTATACTTTTAGTATCTTTGATAATTACTTTAAATGTAATTTTGAAAACGATATTTTTTATAACTAAATTATTTAAACTTAATTTAATTATAAATTTCTTTATAATAGCTTTATAAATATAGGCGAATTACGCCATTGCACTATGTCATATGACACATATATGCACCTGGGTAAATGTTGTTTCTTTCGTTTCCTCTGCAACGTTATATAATTAGATACGTCAACTGCTAACACACAAGACATAAGAACCTTCAAATATTGTTATTGAAAACACACGTCTGATATATTTTCTGCACATATTTTTCGCGTGAAAAAATCTTTGATGTTAAATTTTTATTACATTTATCTACGCCTCACTATTAATCATCATATGATAGCTAATATTAATTTTTGTAGTAATATTTAGTAAAGATTGATTAATTAGTATCTAAAATTGTGCAAGAAGAATATTTCAATATTCCATAAATGCGGTAGTATCAGCTTAAAAATAATAATACCAGAAAAATAGAAATCTGAGCCAAGGACATAAGAGTATATATATGTATATATTTAAGTCGCTATCTAAGCTAAAAATGGAAACGTCATTCTTGAAATGGTTTTTCACAGGCAAAGAGGACAAGAGCGTGCCTCTGCGAATAAAGAATCAAGAAAAAGAAAACTTAAAATTAAATGATGTCAGTTATAGATCTTGGAGACTCGGTAGTTTATATGAAAATGACAACGGTATGTATGAATTTTATACTACTTTTATTTAAACTTTAGGAAGACTTCAGATGTCTTGATTAATTCCACGTTTTTTAGATTTTATTTTTAGATTACAATTTATCTTACTTCTATTACCAACCGTTTTGCTAGATTGCAAAAATTATATAGATAAACAGCAAGAGAATAAATTATTTGTAGATAATATATATTAATTCATTATTCTATAGTAAATTCTATAGTAGATTGGAATGTCATGATAAAAATATATATTAAAAATATATTAACATTAGTACACACATACACGCACACACGCGCACACACACACACACACACGCACGCACGCACGCACACGCGCGCGCACGCACACACACACACATACACACACACACAACACACATACACACGCACGCACGCACGCACGCACGCGCGCGCGCGCGCACACACACACACACACACACACATACACACACACACACAACACACAACACACACATACACACGCCGCACGCACGCACGCACACACACACACGCGCGCGCGCGCGCACACACAGCAGACATTACACTTTATAAGTTTATCTAATTTTCATATTAAATCTATTAAGTGATATAAATTCATTAAGTTTAATTTTGATAAAATTTGAAAAGAAATTTGAAATATAGCCGCAAGAATTAAAAAATTATCAGAAATCATCTTAAGGTTAACAAATCTGATCAACATCTATTATTGATCAAGAAATTCATTTTTAGTGTAAACAATAAAAAGAAATTATGCAATGCAGGTACTATTAGTGAGAATGCAGAATCTCATAGGAATTCGTTCAATTCTACCAGTGCTCAGTGCAAGAATGTGGACTGCTCTTCTACACTAGTAATTATGCACAGTCAACGCAAATAAAAGTTCCATCGCATCATTTGGCGATTAATTAATTTTCTGTAAATTGCAGAATTTGATTTATACAGATAAGCAGAAAAATGATAAAAAGATGAAAGAGTTTCCGACCGAATTGACAATGAGTTTGCAATATTTACCCCCCTGTGATGACATTATCACTGGAAAACTCGTTATCGGTATCGAAGTGCGTTATTGGCATCTTATGTATGAAGAAGTTACAAGAAAATTTTATTAATAATAACATAAATATTAAAAATATCTATTTTATACTAAAGCCATTTAAGTGACTTGATAGATCTTGGATCAAATAAATTCACACAACAAAAAATGAAACACATTCTTGTATTTGTTTGTTTTACAGGCGCTCTGTGGCCTTCCTCCAAAACAATACAATGGTACATTGGAACCTTACGTTGCATTGAATATTATGAAGCAATCATGGAGTTATAGCAAGCGACAAAAATTGCATAGTTTTAGAACAAGGGGCATCAGGCATACTGCCAGTCCGATCTACAAAGAAACTTTTATTATTGCAAACACAAAGCCACAGGAAGCTAAGGTAAATTTTTTATCAGAGTATGTATATAAGGTAGAATAATAAAGTAATGACGCTGTTTTTTTCCTCTTATGTTGCCATGTTGGTAATCCTGTAGTCTGTTATCACTGTCTATGTTTGATCTTGGTCCTTTCTCTATTCCAATTGACATGGTCCTATGTTCGTTAATCGGAGTAGCAACTTAAAATATTAAGATGTGTTTATGTTGCTTGTAACGAAAATGAATTCGCGTAATACCACACAGCAAATATGCTATGTATGAAAGGAAAAAATATATATAGTTCTATATTGTAAATTACATATTGTTTTTAAAGAATTAAGCAACTGAGTGTTTTCTTTATTACAATTGATTTATCTCATTATTTTGTGCTTAAAAATATTAATTGGTATAATTATCCAGAAATCAATAGTTTGATTTATGTATGAAATATTTCATGTTATGTCAAAATATGACGTAATAAAGTATAAAATATCTCGTAAATTATTGAATTTTCGATAGCTTTACAATAGTTTTATATGCAGAATAATTAAAGGAACCATAACTATGTAAAAAAATTATATAATTAGTATTGTAATAGCGGTATCCTTTATATAGCTTTGAAAAATTAATTTTTTTTAAAATTATTTTTACCATTATTTGTCCCCCTTCAGACTGTAACTTTTATTTTAAACATTTTTCCGCATCTTTTATACTTTTTGAGATATTTCGATGCAAAACTTAAAATGTATTACACATAACTTAAGATAATTTATAGATTCTTAAGCTTTGATAAAAAAAAAATAAGGACTAGGTAATATTAAAACATATTTTTATAAAAAAAGAAAAACTCGCAGAGTAGATATAGTTCAACAAAGTAATAAAATCAACCGTTGCTTTTTTTAATTTAAAATGTAAAAAAAATATTTCCCGGATACTAAGACAATTTTAATTACGATTTTCGGATTCAGCAAGTGAAATTGAGTAAGAAAAAAAGGTAAATTAAATTAACGTTCCCCGTGTGCTTCCCAATTTGCCTAAAATGCATGAACTGCGATGTTACGGCAATATGAAATATATACGAAAAGTTCAACAAGTTTCTTTCCGTAACATTATCGCGAAATTTTACACAAAAAATAGCACATCGTTGTGCTAAAAGAATGTAGAATCATGCTATTTGGAATTGTGTTGTGAAGTAGGGGAAAGTCACACATAGTCAGTGATAACAGGCTGCAAATTTGCTAATAAAAAGGAAAAACTCATTATTTTATTGTTTGATCATGTACTTATATTTGAAAAAAATAAATTAATTTAATATTTCTATTAATGTATTTTATATTTTTTTACAACTGTAATAACATATAAATTAATATCTTCAATTTAAATATATACATTAACATTTTATAAAGATTTAATAGCACTTGCGTTGCTAATTTTATGCGAAAAAAAATCTGAATCTATGATGGAATCAGCAAGTTGTTTCAATTTACTTTTCCGCAAATTATTTTTCTTTTAGGAATGGATATTAGATATCATTGCATATGATCATGACAGATACGCAAATCACACAGAATTGTGCTCGCTTAAGGTATCGTTGAAAGATATGAGAAAAATTTTTTACAGTCCGGAGATTCACATGTTCAATTATAAAATGAAGCCGTGTTATCAGGTGACATATTAGCAATACACATATTTAAAAAGTTAGATAAATTAGATATATTAGGAAAACTATAACATTGTATTACAGTAAAATTTCCTCCGAAGTGCGACAATACATTTCCCAAAAATATTTTTCCCGCTGAACATGATGCTATTGGCAGAATTTGCCTAACATATCAGGATTTTGAGTAAATAGGAATAAAAGTAGCAAAAATGGCCACTTTTAACATTTTTTTGCGTCAAAACGGAAACTGGTTTCTAAATAAACCCAACGGTATCTGAAAGTATAACACAAAAGCTTTCAGACTTTAGTTCATGATCGTACGATTTTTTTTCATCAAGTTATGGCTGTTCAAATTTTAGACTTTCTGTAACATTGACACATCTTAAACATAGACATATAAATAGGAATAAAAGTGGCATGAGAAGCTCTTTGAAACAATAATTCCGCTATTTTATATTAACAATAAAGTATAATAGCAAACTTTGATTTTTCGTAAAATACATACACACATGACAGAAAGGTTTTGAAGTCATTAAATACTATAGAAGTGACAAACCATGGGTACATACAGGACACATCCTGACTTCTGTGTAAAACACACACATACACATATAAATTTAAAGAGTATACACCATATATACTCTCTAAATTTTCTGGAGTGACTTTTCACTCTTTTGGAGTGAGAATTCACTCCAGAAAATTTACGTATCTTTCTTGTAAATTGCACAAAAAGTCCAAAATTCAAACAGCCATAACTTGAAAAAAAGTTATATAGTCATGTACTAAAGTTCATTTGAAAGCTCTTGTATAATATTATACTTTCAGATGTTGGGTTTACTTAGAAAATATCAGTTTCCGCCGTAACAAAATATTAAAAGTAATAAAAAATGCCATTTTTGGATACTTTTATTCCAAATTACTTAAAATCCTAACGTGCTAGGCAAATTCTGCCAACGGCATCGTGTTCAGCGCGAAAAAATCTTCGGGAAATATATTATTGTCGCACTTCGGAGAGAAAAAAGTTTTTTTGTTACACAGTGTAAATAGTGATTTAGAAATAATAATAAATAAACAAATAAAAGGTTAAAAAAGAATAATTTCAAATAAGACCGATATATGTATATATCATATGCCTATATATTCATGCCTAACCCTACAAAATGCATGATATCAGTACAATCAGTTCAAAATTATTGTTTAAAAAAAAGGTTAAAAAAGGCGCTAAAAGTACGTGTTTTTCGAGAAAAAACTGTTGTATTAAATTAATAAAACGTCTAACCCTACAAAATGCATGATGCAATCAGTAAAAAATTACGTTTTTAAAAAAAAGTAAAAAAGGTGCTAAGAATACATTTTCATGGAGAAAAAATTGTATTAAATTAAAAAATAAGACCTAAGCGGTGCTATTCCGGGAAAAAAAGTTCCATATATATAATTATATATAATTATATGCAAAATATGTCCATATATATTTTTTTCCTTTGTAAAATTATTCTTTAATATAAAATTGATAATAATAAGAAAAAAACATAAAATAATTAAAAAAATAATTTTTACATTGGTCTCTTTTACAAAAAATAAAGTTTGAAGAAATGAGAAAAATTGCTCATATATAATTATATATAAGTGACTAAAAATATACATATATAATTATATATGAACAATTTTTCTTATTTCTTCAAACTTAATTTTTAAAAAACAATGTAACATCCTTTTAATTATTTTTTATGTTTTCTTATTATTATCAATTTTGTATTAAAGAATAATTTTACAAAGGAAAGAAACATATACGAACATATTTTGTATATAACTATATATAATTATATATGGAACTTTTTTTCCCGGGATCTTCAATTCTGATCTAATAAAACGCAAGTGATATATAAAAAAATAATATATCATTTATCCAAAAGATTTGATGATGTCAACAACCGGTGCCAAATTTACAATTTTATAAAAAAGACTTTACAAGAGTAAATATTAAAAAATAAATAAATCCTAAGTGGTACGTATCTTTATAAAAAAAATAACATACATTTATATAAAAGATTTGATATTAATAATTGGCACCAAATTCAATTCTTAAAAAATAACCTTACAAAAGAAAAAAGAAAAAAAATTATATAATCTAAATAGTATATATCTTTGTATTCTCATTGAAGATCTATTCCAATCCAAGTGATAGCAACTTTAATTTTATCACTTGGGTTGGAATAGGAAGACCCTACAATGGGAATACAAAGATACATATATACGTATACTATTTGGGTTGTATTTTCTTTTAATTTTCACTTTTGTAAGATTATTTTTTAAGAATGGAATTATTGATATCAAATCTTCTATACATGGTGTCCAGTAAATCGTCTGCAATACTTTGAGAGATGATTCGGGACTCAAAAAGAAGGAAAAAAGGTTATATAAACATGAGTCCGGAAATAAGTTGTTTCCCGCGAGTTATAACCATTTTTATGTTAAAAAAAATGTAATTTATTTGTCATAATCATAATTATAATAACAATTCTAATTTATGATAATCATCATAATTAGTCACAATTATTTATTTTTGTACTCAGGATTCACCACGTGAAGACATAGTCCACTGGGCTGTTTTTTATTTTTTTAATTTTTAATTTTTATTCTTTTTTTCAATTTCTCGATTATTTGTAAATACAATTATACACTGCTCAAAAAAATTATGACATAGAAAAATTTTGAGCAAAAATTGGTCAACTTTGGTTAACGGTAACTCCGCGAAAAATTATCATAAAATGATGAACTTTTTTTCAAATGAAAGCTTGAAATCCTGTCTCTTATACACAT